GGAACCAGCATTAACACCAATAATAATGTCAGCCTTGAAATCCAACGTTGAAACATTTGCCAACAAGTGCTACTCTGGGCTGATTAGGCAATTGAGAAATAAAATCCTCTCTCGCCGTACTGAGAGCACACTCAATAAGTTACTCTGAAAAAATTTAACGAGGGCCGCGATGCTGGTAACAGAGGAAGAGGAAGACCTCCTCTGCGTTGTAAAGACCAGGTGGAGAAGGACTTGGCTTCACTTGGCATTTCCTGACTGGCGTGCTGTTTTGGATTCGGCCAAAAACGGTGGTTACAGCGCCAATAAAGAAGAAGAAGAATTTTGTACTGTATTTCCAAACTTTTATTTGTTCGATAGGTATCAGAAACGATGAAATATGTATGTATTTATTTTCCCGCTACATAGAGCTTTGATTACGGTATTCCAAACCTCGACATCTGCGTTACCTAGTGGAGAAAGAAACACGCATAACACTGTTCGTGATAGCTATCTACAAGATGTTAAACGAATCACTCAAAATTTGGTGAAGAAACATGGAACGAATCTTCTAACTGAAGAAGATATTTGATATTCTTTTGTTTATTAAAAGTCTAAAAACCATGGACCGCTAATAATGATTATTTTTTAAATTTTAACTCAAAAAATCTTGATGAAGGAGAAATGTTGCGTCCATATGGAGTAAACCAACATACTCCTTGTCACTCGGCATACCTCAAGCGATATTGATTTTTATATTTTAAGTTTTATTAGAAAAAATCAAGTTTAAAAATTAGTATTTGAGTTTTATTTTTTGCTTAGAATGTAAAACTAAATTTCTGGGGTTTTTACGTCAAAATGCACATATATGTATAAGGACAAGAATAAAGATAAATATTGAGGGAAAATTAAAATAATGGTGGTAATAGCAATGGTATTGGTAAAGGTGGGTAATGGTAATGGGAATTGTAATGACAATGGCAATGGTAACGCTAATGTTAATGTTAATGATAATGGTAATGGTAACTGTAATTGTACATAATTTCAGTAGTGTTCGTCGTTTTCATGTTTACCTTCGTATTTAAGTTAGTATCCGTGTTCGCATTTGCATTCGTGTTCGTGTTCGCATTCGTTTTCTCATACGTCTAATCCTAGTTTTCTGCTCTTAGTCGTCCTCTTTTCCGCTTTCACTTTCGTAATCACTTCCGTCTTCATATTCGTATTGGTCTTCCTTTTGGCCCTTCGTCTTCGTATTCCTCATTAAACTCGATTTCGTATCATATGTCTTACGTCCTCGTCGCCATTTTCGAATTCGTCTTTGTTTTCGTCTTTGGTTTTGTCATCATTTTACTATTTCCGAAGCGGAAATATTTTGTTTGTGAGTCTTCTTTTTCATCTGTTTGACAGTTTGCCGCCCAAAATGCCACATGAAAAAAAAATTCATGCCAAAAAATATGTTTGCGTTCATTTATTTCTGCGAAACACAAAAACGAAAATCTGCAAGCCCGATTCTCTCACCGCTCTCAATTTGCGCAAGGCGGTAACTCTATCTAAAATCAACAAGTTCTTAAGATGCTTCGGTAAAATCTCAGTTAGACTAGACTTAATTTGCGTAACTTAACTTAATAATGCAGTGGTAAGCAGTGCGCGCTTCCATTCCGCAGCATCTGGGTTCAAACCCTGGCCAAAGCAACATCGTAAAAAAATATAGAAAAAAGGTTTTTTCTTAACAGCGGTCGTCCCTCGGCAGGCAATGGCAAACGTCAGAGTGTATTTCTGCCATGAAAAACTGCTTCTTATAAAAATACAATCGCCGTTCGGAGTCGGCGTAAAACTGGAGGTCCCTTCGCTTTGTGTGACAACATCAAGGCGCACCCCATAAGTCGGAGGAGAAGCTCGGCCAAGCACTAACATTTGTGTAAGCGCCAATCTACTACTATTATTAACTTAATATTTTGGCCAACCTGTTATATGAGAAACTTTGTTGGCGGTTAGTTGAATCTTAACTTACTGTAAGCAACTTAAAAACCTGTAGATTTTAGATTCTTAAGTTACGACCTTACGAAAATTGAGAGCGGTGAGAGAATCAGGATTGCTTAATTTTCGTTTTGAAATTCTAAAAAATAAAAGAACTCAAACATATTTGTTTGCATGAATTTTTTGATATGTCATTTTAAGCGGCATAATGTCAAAGAGCTGAGAAAGAAAATACAAAAATATTTCCGCTTCTGACTTACATAAGTTGACGTGTTGAGTAATCATTGATGATTTCTTACGGCAAGTTAAATTAAGTTAAGTCTAGATTAACTGAGCTTTAAGTTAAATTTTAACTAACTTGAATAAGTCTAACATTTGACGATTTTTTTATCTCACTGCCACTGCTTAAGAAAAACACCAGAAGCTTGTTTTGCTTTCAAAACAAAAACGTAAAAATAAAATTTATTTTTACTTTCTAAATAAACAAAAAATAACTTTTATTGATTTACTAAGAAAACATAAAACCCAAAAAAAAATTGTTTTTTTTTGCTAAAAATAAACCCCAAAAAAGAACGCTTGTTTTCGGAAAAAAATAAACTACACAATAACGATAATTTTCCGAAAATAATAAAACTAAAAAATATGTTATTTTCTGCAAAAAATAAAACCCAGTAAATAATCATTACAAAGTATTTTTTATTTTTTTGCAATAAAAATCATAACCATTGCTAAAAACAGTTATGTATTAATTCTAATGTATGGTATACAGTTTTATTCGTATTGAAGCGCCTATAAAAAGTATTGATTCTATGAAAAATATTTTTTTTTTTTTTTATAAAACTGTGAAACAAGTGTTACTAAATTGTATATAATTTTAATAATAACTGAGTTTGGCTGCAGAAGTCATGCGATAATGTTTTTCATGAATAAGTTAATAAGTTGAGAATTCTAGGGAGTTAGAAAATTTTTAACCACAGTTTCGTGAGGTTTTGGTGCTTTTTGTTGAAGCATAAAAATTATTTTGCCAAGAGTAATGCGCTAGACTTTGAAATAGTGATCTTTGTAGTTTCATGGATTTTACTTACATGTTGAGTGTATAGCCGTGAATCCAGTCATCTGCTTATTTTTGTCCGTTTTGAATACCATATACAGCTGATTGGTTGTTGATGAAATCGGATATGGTATTTTGTCGCCGCAAAAGTGACCCAGAAGTGAACTACTTTCGGATTCTCCATCGTATACAGCTACATTGTCATAAGCGCATTCCTGAAAATTCAATTTAAATGTTCAGAATTACTGTTCGGACGCGACGCTCTTGGGTGTTTCGAGAGAAATGTGTTGGGTAAGATACATATAGAATTAGAGCGGTAGCGAAAACAGCTGATACCATTTCGTCGCACTTATAACTTAGCTGATCATATTTTGAAAAACGAAACCTTATTTAGAAATAATGAAATGATAACAAATATAAATATAAGGCAAGGGGGAATTATTATAAATTATTTTATTTTAAGCCAGATTTAACGAACCGATTACTGTATTTTTCAACCGACAAAAATAATTCGTGTTGTGTGTTCTTCTCTTTTAAATCTTTGAAAGCAAAGAAAACATACGGCCACCTTTGGCATGTACTGCCGCCATCGTGATAGAAATAAGTCTATCGCCACGAAACGCCGCCGAGCAAACTTCGCATTTCGCTTTGGCTGTGTTCAATTTCATATGCCGGCGGGTGTTCTAATTTTGACAGCGGGAATTTCGCTATGGTGAGTTCGCTGTTCGCCGGCATTGTGTTTCCACCGTTACGGGGTATTGAAAAGTTTGATGCATTGCCAGTTGGTGATAGTAGAAAAAGAGGACTCCCCTCTCTGTTAAAAATACCGCGTGGAGAAGGAATTGACGACAATTGGTATGCCTCATTGGAAAACGACTATATTCGACCAATCACAGAGTAGGGAGGCAAAAATATCACAGCTAAACGGCCAAACACATAAACTTAATTTTGGACTCTAGATTACGATGCCGTTTTCGGAAAACCGGTATCACGTCTAAATTTTGAGATATTTGGGAGGGAAGTTTTAGAGCTCTGCATGTGAAATTTTCGTTGTTTATGACACTGTTCTGGGCGAAGGTATTTTAGGTCCAGCTTTGGAGAATATCGTAGAATGGGATTCAGTTCAGGTCCAAATAGTGTATAACCCAATAAAATTTCAAAATATTATGAAATAAAATATGTTATAACGAAAAAAACATATCTAAACAATCAATTGCATGGGAGCTATGTGTTATAGTGAACCGAATTCGATCATTTCCAAAAGTAGTTAAGGTAATATCTAAAAACAGTCACGTGCAAAATTTGAGTAAAATAACTTTATAACTGAGGGAATTATTAAAAAAAGAGTTAAAATTTAGGCAAATTTTCAAGTACCGTTATCTCGAAAACTGGAGCCAACCTGGCAGCTATCAAAACCTTTGCCCAGAAAAATAGCCTTATTCATAAAAATTAAAGTAGCTTTAACACGTTGGCTGCCAAAGCCTTTTTAGAATTTTGATCGTTCAGTAGTAATGTCATTTAACAATTTTGGTCACCTGAGGCCAACAACTTATTTTTGTTCTTTTTTGTTTCTTAGTGCCTAAAAAAAGTTTTGACTATTCGCGGATTTATTTTGGCCCCTAATTTTGCAGTTATAACGGTTTTTTGTGTCGCACATTTTCGTGCGACATGGCCTGGGAGAACATAAAACATGTTGTGGGGCCACGTCGCACGAAAATGTGCGACAGTAATCTTTTGTAGCTTTTGAGTTGTATTTGATATTTTGACGTAGAATACGTCTTACCTTAAGGTATGGGGGCTATGTTCAAATGTTGTAGCTGTAATTTTTAGAGCTTCACAAAAACGCTTATTGCACGAGAACTAATAAAGCGATTTCAAAGAAAAGTGTGGCGTTTCAAAGATAAAATTCCAAACCTGTCGACAGATTAATTTTTGTAAATAACCAATTCGGTTTCTGTCGTAAAAACAACGGTAAACATTACCTTATTTTGGGGTCAATTTTGAGCCTTTAAAGTGCTCTAGTAACTTATTGTTGGCATATATAACTTTCATTTTCGGGATATAGGTTCTTTGGAGCAGTAGAAATATTATCGGGTACAAATTTTATATAAATTTAACAAATATTGAGCATTTTAAGGCAAAAAATTGTTGAAAAAATTTGCAAATTTTTTTCATTACCAAAATGCTCGAAAACTGCTCGAATGATTTTGTTTTTGTTTTCTTTAATCAAAAATTCAAGAGTTTTCCTTTCGTTTGGTATATGGGAAGTATTGGTTGATATCTTCTATATATGTTTATTTAATTCAAATATATGGGCATAAATGATTTTCCATACAAAATCACCTCGTCATCATTTTGCAAACACGTGCATATGTTGGAAGTGTGGGAAGGAGACAAAAAGTATGTATGTATGTGTCCGTAAGTACATATTTCGGGGTTTATCGGTATAATAATCGATACTTTGTCGGTTTTATTACCGATGTTTTTATCGATTTTGCTATCGAAATTTTTATCCATAATGTTATTGATTTTGCTATCGATATTTTCGGAACTTATCGATATAATGATCGATACTTTTATCGATTTTGTTATCGATATTTTTTATCGATTTTGTTATCGATTGTGTAATCGATTTTGCTATCGATTTTGTCATCGATACTTTTGTCGGTTTTGTTACCGATATTTTTATCGATTTTGCTATCGATATTGTTATAGATTTTTTTATAGGTTTTATATTCGATATTTTTATTGATGTTGCTATCGATATTGGTATCGACATTTTTATGGATTTTGTTATGGATTTTGTTATCGACTTTATAATCGATTTTGTTATCGACTTTTTTATCGATTTTGTAATCGATATTTTGATAGATTTTGTAATCGATTTTGTAATCAGTATTGTTATCGATTTTGCTATCGATTTTGCTTTCGATATTTTTTCGATTTTGATATCAATATTTTCATCGATTTCTTTATCGATGTTTTTATCGATTTTGCTACCGATATTATTATCGCTTTTGTTATCGATATTTTTTGCTTAGTGTGTGCTTTTGTTTTTTTACTTGGATATGCTCTTAACCATACCACGTATTCTACGTTTAAATTTAGCGGCTGTATCTCCGATACAGCCTGCAGGCCAATACGAAGGCGCTGGACTGTTCCTTTTTTTGTTTTATTTTACTTAGTTTTCCAATTTCGCGTTCACGAAAATGTGCAACAGTAATTTTTTGTAGTCTTTGCGTTATGTTTGATTAATTATTAATTTAATAAATCTAAGAATTAATTAATTAGTTTAATTATATTTATTTAAGAATTAATTTTGATAAATTTACATTTTAATTGCATTATTTTTGCACTGAACTCCAATAACAAATTGAATTTTTAATTTTAAGTTTATTGTTTTTTTACTGATCTCCAAATTGAATTTCTAATTTTATGTTTATTGTTTTTCTACTGATCTCCATTTGAATTTACATACATATATATTTTTATATTTTTTTTGCTCATAAATGAATTGATTTTTAAAAGAATTGATAAATGACAAATTTAAATTTCCAACTTTTTTATTATCCAAAAAAATACCATTAAAATACACAGCGGCCATGGGAAATACACCAAAATGTTCACCACAGGCCAGAGAATCCAAATTCCATGTAAAATTCCATATTAAAATGTACGAATATGTGCGACGTGGCCTCAGGGTAACATTTAGGGGTCGCACGAAAATGTGCGACGTGGCCTCAGGGTAACATTTAGGTGTCGCACGAAAATGTGCGACGTGGCCTCAGGGTAACATCTGGGTGTCGCATGAAAACGTGCGACGTGGCAGCCAACGTGTCAAAAAAGTTTTATAAATTGATAAATGTATGAAAACGTCAATTTATAAAGCTCTTAAATCTACATTATTTTTTATGAATAAGGCCAAAAGAGTTTACAGCCTGAGCACAGTGTTATAACGAACAAAAATCTAAAACTTACCTCCTAAATATCTCGAAATTTTGACGTAATACGGATTTTCTGAAATCGGCATCGTAGAAGCCAAAATTAAGTTGACGGGTTTGGTCGTTTAGCTGTGATATTTCAAAACTTTAAAAATTTTGTACAGTGTTATACTTTGTCATATCAGCAATACACTCAAAGGTATGAGAAACAAGTAATTTTTAGCAAAAAAAACCGACTTCAACTCTCATATAAAAAAAAAATATATATATATATATCATGATCCACTGATCGGATCTTAACCAGATTAGTATGGGACCACCTCTGAGACACTACCTTGTCGAAATCGGCTGACGTGGTCCAAAGTTATGCGGTAGCATACATAAAAAAAAAATAAAAAAAAAAATAAAAATATTCCGACCAACTGATAACCTCCTCATTTTTTGGAAGTCGGTTAAAAAAGCCACGTATCTACTATTTACAGTTTGAGTCTACCACGTTTGCACCATGCGCATTCATTACCACTTGGCTCACTCACCTGATGAGACTCCACGTTGAATTCATTGAATATCAGCTTGATGCGATGACCCGGTGTGGTTGAAAAGTGCCATACGCAATCAGCATTCGGTGGATAGAGATCCGGGAAGTTTGGACTGTAGATGGTGCCAAAAGGTGCCGATATTTCATGTTTACATTCGCCTTCTTTGCAATCGTGTCCATTCTCATGTAGCGAATAGCCATTGTGACAGAAACACATATAGGAGCCGATTGTGTTACGACACTCATGCTGGCAGCCACCATTGTTCGTGGAACACTCATCAATATCCGTGAAGAATACTGCAGCGAAGCCAGTGCCTTGTATAGTCTTATCAGAATGGAATTCAACGCGCAGCGCATTGCCCTCCGAGGTGGCTGTGGGTGGTATGGCTGTGCCGCAATATGTACCAATGCGCTTTAGGCGATTCTCGCTTAATTTTGAGTAAATAGTGACCGAGTCGTAGCCGCAATCCGTTTGTTGTTGTGTATTGCCCTCGAGATCGAAATGCGTGAAGTTGAGCGATATCTTGTGTTTTGGCGGAGCAATAATTTCCCAAATACATTCCTTTAGCACGGGATAGGCATCCGGGAACGATGGCGAACTTATGGTACCATTGGGGTATTCAATGACGCCACCGCAAGCATCTGTGGTTAATAGAAGGAGCAGAGAATTGCAAGGAGGTGAATGAGAAGGCGTTAAAAACAAAACTGTTGACAGGTGAAGTAGTAAGGAGAATATATGTATAAATGGGAAAGAATCTTTCAAATTTTCTTGCATGTTTAACTATACATATTGTAAATATGTATGTACCATTATTTATACACCCACATACGTGCATACATATTTAAGTACATACCTTCACAATGCTTTTTGTCGCTATGCAATTCATAGCCAATATGACAGCTACACTCGTAACCACCCAACGTATTTATGCAGTCATGCTCGCAGCCATGATTCTGTGTCTCGCACTCGTCTACCTCCTTCATGAAAATGGCTGAGAAGCCGGCCTTCTGTACGGATGAGTCCGACAAGAATTTCACATACATAGCATTGCCACTTGACCTACAAAGTGAAAACAACAAAAACAACAACAAGAGAAATAATGTAGAAAATGAATAAAGTGAAGTAAGGAAAAGTTTCACTTTTGATTTTGCTTTCAGTCGCGCCGGCACACTTGCTTGTTATCAGCATATCCAAACAGCACTTACTTAGGCGACGAACTAAAGGATCGTCCGACAATTCGAACAGAAGACAGAACTCTTTTTCGTTCGCCAAGTGTATCAGTGCATACTACGAGTGTTTGTAAGCTACTTACATATACATATGTATATGTACATACTAGTACATATTTATATTTATACGGATGCACTCACTTCATGTTCGGTGGTGGTTTGTAGCCGCAAAAAACGCCAATCAATTGCGCATCCTCCGTGGCACCGTCTCGCACCTCGACGTAATCATACACACAGCTGTCGTGATTCTCCACTTCGAAAGATTGGAACTTAAGCGCCACTTGGTAGCCTCTTGGCACAGTGATTTTCCACACGCACTCTTTGCTTGGCAGGTAATCCAGTGGATAGTTGGGCGATTCTAAACGACCCTCGGAATCGTCGACAGACATCTCACCGCCACAGATGACTGCAAGTGCGGAAAGAGGAAAACAAGTATATGTATCCAAGTAAGCTTGGGAGAGTGTAAGTATGTAAGGAAGTATGTATGTATGCATGGGGAGGTGTGAATGAGCCGTGATGACTCGTGACAAAGTGGAATTGTTGAATGGTTGACTTGCTGCTGTGAATGCAGCTTAAAAAGCGGATGCGGAGTAGGTACAAGTAATCAGGATGTAACAGAAATGCTAAAGCTAAGTGCATTTTTTAAAATAGCAGCAGGAAAAGCTCTCAATTTGTTTCCTTCATCTTTTTTTTGTGACGTGGCTAAATGGAATAATACAATTGCTAACTGAAAGGAGTAGATCAGTATAATACAAAATTCATCTGTTAGTAACTGCTTCTTATGCAGCCCAGCAGAAAATCTGTGATTGCTTCTTGTGTGTACAAATTAAAATTTCTGATCTAAACCGTTTCGTGGCATTTAGGGACCAGTTCTGGACAATTTGAGTTAATTCAGGACTATTTCAGCAACATTTACGGATTTTCTGTAATTCTTTGGGCCTTTTCTGAAATACATTTGTGTTTTTCTGAAATACTGTTGAAAAAGGTGTAGCTCATGAGTATTTTATGACTAGTTTGGGATACTTTTGGGACTACTAGGGACCATTTCGAGACCGTTTCTATACTTGTTCGATATCCTTTCGGGTCAAGGTCACGACTTATGCAGAACCATTTCAAACAATTCTGGCACTTACCATGGAATAATCCTGAAATAGTTGTGAGCTATTCCGGAAGTGGCTATGAAAAAGGCAGTCCCGACAAAATGAATGAATCCTATTTATGTATTTAACTGAATCGCTTAATGCTTGGCCAAGTCGTACACATTTTTTTGCGTATCAAATTTCACGAGATCCTGGTACTCACGCCTTTTTTACGAGGAGTATTTCATACCCATTGATAAGATTTGAAGGCTAAGTTATAAATTCTAGAGTTTTGTGGCAGTGTGAGAAACAATATAGGTATTCACCAAATTGCACAGTGGGCCTGACACTCTGGCAAAAAAGCAGATGAGCTCAAGCAACGACTGTTGATAAACGTCGTTGCTTCAGCTGATCTGCTCTTTTGCCAGACTGCCAGGCCACTTGCCCACTTTGGTGAATACTACTTATAGTGTATAATTTAAAATGTGCAATCACCTCTAGCTAAAAGGATAATCTCAAATGGAAACACATGTTTTTCTAACGAAAGTATGGACTTTTTACTCAATAAATGTATACACGCCTTTTATTATAGGCTCTAACCTATTAAATTCCATTGGAAAGTGAGTTTTAAAGTTACTTCAAACAGCTAAAGGACATATCGTACCCACTTCGCTTCAACACCTAGCATATGTGTCATTGCGTTATATTCTAGTAGACATGGTCCTGCAGCTTAACATTTGGCTATATTACCTCTACAAATCTTACGTGATGTGTAATAGGAAATTTTATTATCAAATATTAGGTATCTTAACAACTATCTAGTTCCCCTAACTGCTCATAATGATAGGAGTTAAGTGATTATAATGTTCTATGAAAAAAATTCTTGTTAAATTTCAATATACGTCTATACTGAACAATCTACTCTCAGAGATATCAAGCGAACGACAACTCTTACCAACAGTCGTTACCTTGGCCTCAGTAGGCAATTTAAAGCCGGCCTCGACGAACAAAAATTAGGCATCGTGCCTGTCTTTTTATATATCGCATGTCGTGGGCAGTGTCGAACAAATATGAGAAAGATTCGGGGGCTTTCGAGAGAAATATTCTGTGTAAGATCTATGACCCTATTCACGTGAATGGCGTGTACCGAAGGAATTAGTGTGAACAACTAACATAACTTTGCAAAAGAGACAAGCGATTGGCTAAGTTTTTTGGTTGCAACTGGTTGTCTGAAACTGACTTACAAATATAATTTCAAAGCAAAACAACTGTTCGTTCAATATTAGCTGCATATTCAGGACCTCGAGTAAAACTAACCAAAAATTCATTTGATATTTAATGACCTATCTTATTGGTATATGAATTTGCATTCTTACATATCGCACCCGATATTCAAAGCACATGCCAATTATATGGGCAAGCAAGACTCTACCTTGGGTTTTTTCAACAAATTATAACAAAAATTTGCTCCAGCTTTTTCTACAAGGTAAATAAAATTTCTGTGCACATTTTAGTGTATAATTTCAAAAATGCTAAATTTCGAGTTGTGTCGCTTTTGAAGATGCGTGTGCAATGTGTACATAGTACATATGTGCGGATATATGAGGTACACTCACCATCAAATTCTGCCTTGAAACCCCGATAGCCTTCCATGCGATGTGTATTGACATACGTCAAAAGCATACGACTCGATTCTGTTTTCAAAATTTCTCCATTTACTTTACCGCAGAAACGCTTAATCAGAGGTGATTTATAATAATAACCATCTCGCACCTCCAAGTAATCCGTTTGACAGTTGTTCGACTTGAAAATATTCTGTAAAATTCAAAAGAGAGAAGAAAATATTCAACAAATGTTCGACGCATTAAATTCAATAGCAGAAATTAGTCATGGTTTTTCAAAAAATGACTGCCGCCAAGCCAAGGAAAACGAATAAACCAAAAATCTACTTTTACTTTTAATTTAAAAATTTGTTCATGTTGTCCGCCTTGAGGGCAAGCAAGTAAATGCTACCTACCAAATTTTCCAGTTTCAACACAACGCGCTCGCCATGTGTAGCTGTAATGCGCCATTCACACTGCTCCGTCTCGTTGGTCAATGCACCAGCCGTATAGTATGACGGACTGGCAAATATGCCGGTATTCTCTTGAAATGTACGACCGCACTTGGGGCACTTGTAGAGTAAATTCGCTTGTGCAACATCACCGGAACTCAAGCGTAAACGTTGACCAATTTCAGGACGCTTTTTGCCTTTCACTTCAATGGGTAGAATGGTGTCGAGGTAGGTGCCTTTGGAGAATGTGTTGCGCGCATAGTGCATAATGGAGTCATAGTCATAGGGCAGCCCCAGTGAGTCGACCTCCTCCGGTGTCAATTTGTTGAAATTGTAGTCTTGACCCTTCATGATGTTGTTGTGCTCGATGACGACGTGCTTTTCGCGATCGGGACGGGTGTGCTCATGCCAAAAGCCAACGACATGACCCAGTTCGTGCACTACAATGCCGAATTTGTCGCAATTGCGACCGATTGATATGGCTTGCGCTCCATTGCCGCGTTTGCCAACAAATGAACAGCACCTGTAGCAAAATGGTTGGGTAAGCGAAATGACATTTGTGTTGGCACGGTGGGTGTTTATGTATATGCATGTGTATGTCAGTTTGTATCAGTATATATAAACAAATGTTTTTATGTATGTATGCATGTAGTATGTATTTTAGTGCGTCCATACTTGCGTATAAAGAATAAAACAATTAGTTTGCGAAAAGCGTAGTTATGATGGTATTTAGTGTAAATGTTGGTACAAATGTATCTTTAGAGCAAAAACAAAGCCAATTACTTTGATTTCATTATTGTCCATGCTGAACTCACCCACAACTACGTACTGTGAATACAATGAAATTTGGATGTATTTCGGGATCACGTTCAATAAATTTGATGCAAGTAGAGTTTTCCCAATGACGCATTGCCTGCTTGAAAAGCGCCTTGTGCAGACCACTGAAGTTGCCGTCGATTTCATACGGTATGACACCGTAATCCCACACTCGCTCCTTTTTGGCAGTTACAGCGCGCACCATGCGATTGCGATGCCTTAAGTGCTTTGAATTTCTGTTTAGAAATATGCAATGATTTTAGTAAACTATTATAGTAAGAATAAAGTGCAACGTCATTAAAGTTTGAACTCCATACAAAACTTTTCAGGTGTTCACTATTAAAATTAATCATGCCCAACGCTGTCAGAACTCCATAGGCAAGTGCCTTGCGCTGGGCATGCCTGATTAAGACCATTAACGAAGCAAATATAGGGACCCAAAGGCCCATCTCTTAAACAAGTTACACGATTTGAAGATGGACGCATTATTCCCTAATATCTGCTTATTACACATAATTTTCTGCACTATGCCAGTAACTGTTGTTGCCGGTGGCGAAATTTTATTCAACCTATTACTTAGCACATATTACGAATTTTTTACGTTCTTCGATGAACCTAACTAGCCTTCGAACTTTGTCACTGGAGTCATCTCTGGCTCGTACCATTGATTTTTTCTAATAAACTCACACAAGAACGTGACGATAGTTTACTCTATTCACAAGCCTATTCTGATCGTTACCGAATATTTTGTAATCGAAAAATTAAAAATTTTCATTAACAGAAGCTGAAACTGGAAATTTAGTTGCCGCACAGAGGTGTATTTGCATAGTAAAATCGGTCAATATTATTTTATGTGTTTTTCTACTCGGTAAATAAAATAATCATAATTAGGCATTAAAAGGATAAAAATTACTACTTAAAATTATCTTAGGATCACTTTCGTGAAATATTCAAATAGTTATATTCAGCTACCATAAGTCCAGAAAAAAACTTTTTCAGAAAAAGACAAGAACGGAACTCGTTTTCATGAACATATTTAGGCAGACGAGTTCGGATGTGCACTTTGTTCTTTCAGACCGGCTCTTCAGATTGCGAATTGTGCAAATTTTTCGTTGCTAAAGTTTTGATGCTTCTTCAATTTCAGTTAAATAAATAACTAAAAAAATGTTCTAAGGACACAATTGTTCTCGCCGAAGCCGATTAGAGAGTATTATTGTCCAGTTTCATAGTCCCTCATAAGATCTCCCGAGGTCTTTAAAATTAAAGGGTATGCAACTCAGTAAATTTGTGTACCCAGCTCCAATGAAAGCTGTTGAATTTCAAATATACTTCCCAGCATCCGTTTTCTTTGACAAATAGTATTCGATCAATTTTTTTTAACAATGCGACAATCTACTCTACTTATAACTAGACATTAAACATTTCTGTAAATAAAAACCAAAATTACAATTTAATGATTAATCGTGTTTCGTCCTTCGAAAATCAAAATATAGCACATGGGAGAAAATTATTTTTACTTTAATTGCTCAACGATATTTGTAGTTACATGTATTTCAAGGAACCAAACTTTGACAAACCCTGGCAAGTAAACAAAAATATCAATACATAAGAATTAAAAAAAAAAAATATTAAAAATATCAAAATGGACCGATTTTAAATTTTCTAAAAGAAGACCATATTAAAAGCAATTCACTCAAATTTAGTCCAAAATGATGGAAATGACCTTCTTCTTCCATGTTCAAAAGGTTTTTTGTTGAAATACATACATAGGTCTTCACTAAAATACAATTACCGACGAAACAAGTAGAACGACTGACAGCGTGCAGAACAAAAAAAAAAAAAAAAACGATCACAACATTGACTGTTTACAGGTTGACGTATGGATGTCAAAGGGACAGCAGCCGGGGAGTTTTCATGGCTACTTTTCAATAAATCGGATACTTAGCTTTAGAAATAGTATGTTTAACTGGACTTTTGCCAAAATTGGCAAATGTGACTATTGACTGGGTTTTGTGTACAAATACTCCTATGTGTGCCGGTTAAAAAATTTTGGTATCAGCGCAGAGGAGACCTGTAAACAGTTTTTATTAATGTTTTGTGTTTTGTAATTTTTTGGCCAACTAACAATTATGTACGTAAATTCAACAAGTTTATTGAGCTTGAGGCACTTTCTAATGAATGTAGACTTATTGTGACCCAATCCTCCCCATTTTTTTTTTCAAACTTAGGTGTTTCTAATAAAAGAGAGAGAACAAAAAAAATTTTTATCGAAATCGGATGAAATTTAATGTTTTGGCATAGAAGAGTGGAGTGCGTGGCAACTAGCCTATCTTTACCATCTATATATATAATCTATATATATAATACGCGAAGGAATTTTTTGTGCAGCATTAAATATCTGTACCGTTCGCCCGATTTTCAAAAATGAGAAGTCAAATTAAAGCGCTTGGTCTGTAGATGTGCAATAAGGTTTTACTTTTGCGAAAAGAGTTGCCACCTGATAAAAAATTGCATTCAAATAATTTAATAATCAATGCCATCAGATCCACACCGTTCGTTCGATTTTAAAAAGTGAGGCGTCAAATCAAAGGGCTCTGACTTTAGGTGTGCAATAATCATTTTTTGTTCCGCATTAAAGATCTGCACCGTTCGTTCGATTTTCAAAAATGGAGTGTCAAATTAACGCGCACACTGGTAAAATACAAACTGGTTTTATTTTTTCGAAAGGAGTTGCCACCTGTAGAACAATTGAATATACACTATATAATAAGCAATGACGTCATAACAGCACCGTTCATTTGATTTTCCAAAATAAGGCGTCAAATTAAAACTCTTGGACTGCAGATATGCAATAACTTTACTTTTACTTTTTTGAAAAGGGTTGCCACCATTGAAAAAATTTCTTTCAAATTATCTAAAAATATCAATTATTAAAAAATGGGTATCAGTGGAAAGGGGTTTGAAAATATTTGTTTCTTAACTTAACTTTAGGAGGGTTGCCACCTGTTTAAAAAATTAAATTAAAATTAAATTCAATTTGAATTAAGAAAATTAATTAGGAGAAATATGTTTCAACATATGGGCGCTTAACGAAAGGGGCTTCATAAGGTGGCCGTTTGAAAATATTTTGAAGAGGGTTGCCACCTTCTTGCAATGTCGAATTTAATTAACTCATCCAGAAGTTATATGAAATGTCAAAATATGATGTGAAACGAAAGAACATTAAGAGGACTTTAGTTTGAACACACAAAATATTTTTGAGGTCTTGTATTTCAAAATTCCCTTTTCTTTAGAAAAATTATAGTACATACAAGGTTCAGCGGAATCGGTGCACGTTAACAATTCTTTCCACCTGCCTCCAAATAGTCGAAGGACCCCTCTGCGGTCGATTTGTACACTTGGCGCAACTTCGGAAGAAAGGGGCAATAGGCGAAGCTTGTGGTCTCGCTCAAAACCGAAAAATGGTTGCGTGCCAAATAAAGAGGAAAAGAAAAAACTACTATCTCTTAAATTTTGGTACCAAGTTTGGAAGGTTTAGGATATGTCGTAGTGGCTTCGTGGGCACCCGACAGTCTCCGAAGAGTAGTATGTACCTACGGCCCTCAACATATTGACTTTTACAGCCATTAGCAGACCGCATCAAAGATTTCATAGCAGCATTTGGAGATTTTTGCAAAGCATACTTACTCAGCTTTTTGTAGTTCTATTTCTAATGGCGTTTGTATATTGCTGCCAGTACCCGCACTAATTCCGTCACTGCGGTCGCTACTGGCTATGGAATCGTACGCGTCGAATTCAACTCTACCGCCCACAGCTTCCAGTTCATCGCTTGGTGTTGCAGAATAATTGAAATTTTTGGCTAGACTTTGCTCCATTTGCAACGCTGGCATCCATTGATGGTGGCGTTGATGGTGCTGTTGCGGTTCTGGCGCCAGCTGTTGCTTGTGCTTTCCGTACTCGTGTTCCAGCGGTCGTTCATTGGCGAATTCTATTTTATCTGCTCCAGGTGTTGCTGTTGCTGTTACTCCAATTTTCGTTGTTTGCTTCTTGTTATGTGTTTTGTGGTTGGCGCCATGGTGGCCGCCCACGTTGTGTGTTGGCCGCTGGTGGCGTACTTGCGCTGGATAATCGTGAATGGTATGCACTGGCCGATTGAGTTCTTCCTTTAGGCGTTCCAGCTTCGCATTAAAGTCTGCATGTCGCATTTCTGAGCTGCGTCTGTAATGAAAGTTAATTAAGTGCGATTGGTTTGTGGTTCGAGTACATATTGTGTGGCCTATTTGTACTAGCATACACTATGCAATGCAGTGTTAGTCATTCAATTTACCTATGCTTGCGCCCACGGCGATGTCGTCGTCGTACTGCACCCTCAGCATGCAAAAAATCCACATCATCAAGCTTCATGCCATTACCACCCGAATTACTGTAAACATTCGGCATTGTTGAGCGTTGCGTAGGTACCGATGTCGGCAGTATGACCATGCGACGTTCGGCCACGAAATTGTTACCTGAATCCATTTCAATGTCCTTCGTATTCGATTGAATTTTTCGTTGATCAACATTGCGATTATTTATGGCTGCTGCGGCTTTACGTTGCTTCTCTACTTCGACTGCTTTCTCAATCGGTGTGCGTCCGAAAGCTCCACCTGCGCCATTGCTATCGACGCTACTAACTGCTGGTCCGAAATACTCCCCACTGCGGTGTAAAGCAATCGACTCTACTTTTCCGTTTGCATCAAAAGTTGTGGCTTTTCCTGGACGTGTGTGCATTCCACCACCGCTGCTAAGAGCGCGCTGCCGTAGTTGTTGTTGTTGATGCGCACCTAGCGGTTGTGTTTCATTCGTGTCCGTATTTGCGGATTTTCCGCGCGTAGCTGGCTTGGAATCGAAAAATGAACCATCAACTGGATGGTAAATGGGGTTCGGTTTGTAGCGTTGGCCGTTGTCGTTGTTGTTATTGCTACTGATAACTTCATTTTTTAAGTTTTTCATCAAATAGTCGGTGTTTAACGAAAAACTTGTGGGTTTTACCGGTTCATTGGCCGACTAGGCATCGCAGTTCACGAGAAAAATAAAATGAGAGAACAAACAAAAGGAAGAGAATTGAGACGCGCTGCACAGATGAAGTGTTGAATTAAACTGCCTTGTTGGAAGCGTAAACATTGCGAGCTCAACATCCAACAAGTGAAAAAATTAATGTTTGACTAGTGCTTAGACGCACAATAAAAATCAGAGTTTTTATGGACTTTTGGTAGCTTTGCTAAATTCACGCCGTTGCTTCAAAATTTGCCACCCACGAAAGCACATACATTTAGATACATACATATGTACTAAACATGTTCATATTTACCCTTCGGTAAAATAAGGAAAATTTTTCAGACGTGTGCTAAACTTTAAGTCAATAATGCACTTTTGAATGAAGTATACGGTATGTGTGATCTTTCACGCACTTCATCTAAAAAGTTGCCAATATTACAACAAATTCTTACAAATTTATATATTTTATGACTTTAATGAAATTCCATAACCATTGCCAGGGTATTGCCTATTTATTGAGGATTAAATCTCCGGATATCTTCTATGATCTGTTCCAAGGTGAAATCTATCACTCACAACAAGTGATCCGCGAAAATCAAATTACTCTAAATTCTAGTAAGATGGAGCTCGTCTTCTTCATTTGTAAGTATAAGATACTCTACTTAACTCTAGCCTCAATCGGAGGCGTTCGCCTGGCCTATTCTGATAGAGTCAGTTGGGAAGCTGTCGTGGAGACTAAATACAAAACCGAATCCTCACTCACTGTTAAACTTCTTAGTGGACGATGAAGTAGAATTAATTTAACAATTTCTCTAAATGTACCCAACCTTAATGGGACCTCAATAAAAACACTAACTAGTACCGAGAGCTCCCCAGGACTGTCATTCTCCGCCAGCCAAACTTCGTTGTTGGCTCAAAAAATGTTTCACTACAGCTCAGCAGTTAGTGTTTGTAGGGCCATATAAGAACACTGATTGTTATGGTCTTCTGTATGATTTCGTTTCTGCAGCTTCTACAGAACTCATTGGAGGCCAGGCCCAGCTATTTGTTGTGAATGCCAACCGGTCAACGCTACTTAACTCGCAACGTCTGAAGTTTGGCTGTGGTGTAATTTTCCAGCCATGAACCGATTGCTGAAGCTTGTGGAGGAGAGTTTATCTTCTTATAGTTTAGATTGTAGACCTCTATTATGGTCGATGTGAAAACGTCCCAAGGTAAGTCATCAGCAGCCATATTTTCGGGAATTTTGGGATAATCAGCGGCCCAAACTAAAAATACTTCGAATTGATTCTAAGTATGTACATTCAATAGTGTTCTTCACTCAATAGCCATCTTAAATGATAATCTGCACGCCTGTTGGTAGCGTAAGCAACTGCACTTCAAAAGGAGACAGCCCTCGGCGATACATGATATGAAAATGAGCTTGGTTTCTTTACTCTCTCCCGAATACTTAATTTTCAACTTCAAACTACGATTCCCTTTTTTAGATAATCGTAGGTTTTGGGTATTCAACTTTGAAAATTAACAAGCAAGAAACTTTAAGTTCGGGCGTAGCCGAACATTAAATACCCGGCGCAAGTATTAAATATATGTCTTTCACCTTTCCGAAATCTACCGCTACATGGAAAGCTGTGGTGGTTTTACGCTTATTTTAAAAATCTTCGATAGAACGTTCAGTTAGACATAATGAGATAAACTTGTGTAGTCATATATGGGCGGTATCACGCCCATTTTCCAAAATTCCAAATAATGTTACTTCTTTCCAAGGGATTGCTAGTATAAATTTTGAGTTAATTAGCGCCTTTAAATTTCGAAATATCGAGGTTTATATGAAAAGTGGCCGAAATTTTAGTCTGATTTCAATAATTTTCAAGGTTTTGCTTTAATGTGGCAAGCGCAATAACCATACCGAGTTTAGTACAAATTAGTAGAACGGTTACCGAGATGCATATATGTGATCATAAGTGGGCGGCGCCACGCCAATTTTCCAAAATTTTATCATAAATAAACGTGTTGCTTGGAAAATAATTATTGCTAGCATCAATTTTGAATAAATTAGCTTTAATATTTACTGATTTATCGAAGATTTCGTATTTCTCTAAATTACCGTTATATGCGATTTGGGTGTGGTTATTTTCAGATTTAAAAAATTTTCATCCATCTGGTATGTTGTACCAAGGCCAACAACTATGCTAGTTTGGGAGAAATTGGTGGAGCGGTTACCAAGATATACATATGTGGGCGTGGCTACGCCCATTTTCCAAAAATGTATAATGTTATTATTTTTCGTCTAAAAATTATTGTAAATATCAATCTTGAGTGAATAATCTTCAGTAGTTAATAAAATATCGCATTTTCGTATTTCTGAAAACTACCGTTATATGGGAGGTAAGCGTGGTTATTGTACAATTTTGTCATTTTTAAATACCGTCCGCCCAAGTTTCGTAAAGATATTTCAATTTTTACTCGAGTTATGTGTGCACAGACGGACGGCTTGACACTGTAATGCGGAAGTCCTTAGACTACTAAATATAAAAATCGTTCTTTGTAATATCGGGTTTAAAGTTAAGTCTAATATAGACTAGAATGCAGATTGTGAGTACATTAAAATATGTAAAACAAATTTATTCAAATGTATGTATGTATATGTATAATTAAAGAAGACTCACCAAAGCTGCATCATTGCGGTTACGTTCATTTTTATTGTTGTTGTAGTCATAACGTGAACTCGGTAGTTTGGTTTTCTTGCGTATAATATGTGTCAGACCCTCCTCCTCCACTTGCAAGCCTTCGTGATAAACTTCCTGCTTGAGTATCTCCAATTCTTGTTGGAAAGATGCATTGAATTTAGTAGCGGGTGCAACTTTTTCAACGATTGTCAGCCTGTCAGCTGGTGCATCCGATTGCCATTCCCAGGCGGTATCCTTTTCATTCACATTTCGTTTAGGCAAGCTTTCACTATCCTCACTACCGGTGATTTCGTCGTCGTCTTCGTTGTCATGTGATCCGGCTTCTATGGGTATAATCAGAGTGCGCGCCACAATTGGGTCACCGTCATAATTAATGTCGGGCAAGGCGATATCTCCCATAAAACCACCTGTGGGAAAAACAGGAAAAAACAATTGGAATTTTAATTGAATTTCAATGATAAGCTGCAGGCAAGATAGTGAAAGAATGTATGCATGCGCGCAATTGTTCGTGCAACCAAAAACTGGTGTACTTAAATAAATACTCATACATAAGGATAATGCAAATAATAGCCAATTTAAGTGCGTCTGTTTGCACATAATTGGTGAGATAAAATATTTTTATTTAACTGAGCATTCATTAATTATTTCCGGCGCACGGTGTGCTTTTTTAACACTCTATCTGAATTAATCGTAGCGTTTTCGACGGAAGCAACATTATGATATGACACAAACTGGTTTGTAAAGCTAATGTAATTGCCTTTCACGGAAAAATATTGCCATTGAACCACAACTACTCCTTGACCTCAAAAACATTGGTCAAAAATAGTGTTCTTCGAAAAAACCTGCAAAATCCAACGGACTTATTTCCAAAAAATTGTAAGTTATATTATATTAATATTATAAATTTTGAGACGAGCAACTCGAATCCAAGGTTTAAAAACCAAAAAAATATTTGAAACCCCTCAATTTGAAAAATTCATTATATATTGCATTTCTTATGATTTGCATGCAGCTGTGCATCCTTCACACAATTTTATATCCCTCGAACAACAAAAAAAATTTTAGTGCAATTCAAGACCTTTAATTTGAAGAACACCCTATTCACACAATTCGGTTCAAAAACGCCCTATCTCCACATATTTTCAAAATATTTTCAGTTTAGATAGGACGTTTTCGAACTGGCTGCCGAGATAGCTCGATGTTCCACTCAGGTGTACATACATATGTATGGAGCCAGTCCCATAAGGCACTTTATTAAAATGTCTATTGGTTACGGGAAAGACGAACCCATCGGATCTCTATGTCACAAAATCCATGAAAACAAAAAAATTATACCAAATTCAGATACTCCAATTC